TGAAGCAGTAGTGGGTTTTTCTTAAATGCCTTTTCCGTATCTTTTAAGATAATCATGTGGTTATTCTTTTCTTGTTGATACGATGAATTTTATCAAATGATTTATGAATGTTAAACCAATCTTGCATTTTTATAAAAAAAAAACTTGGTCATGTTATATTCTTTCTACATATTATTAGGTAATTTGCTAAATTTTTCTTCAGAATTTTTGTACCTTTTCATGAGCAGTATTAGTCTGTAGTTTTCTTTTCCTGTAATGTTTTTGCCTAGTTTTCGAATCAGGGTAATACTGGACTTATAAAATGTATTGGGAAATACTACCGTCTCTTTCTTTTTCTGTAAGAATTTATATAAAATAGTATCATTTCTTGTTTAATGTTTGGCAGAATTCCCCAATAAGACCGTCTGGGCCTGGAGTTTTCTGTATGGGAAGCATTTTATCTATAAGTTTTATTTCTGATAGATATAGGACTATTCAGTTGCTTTCCTTTTATTTTTTTCTTTTTCTAATTTTTATGAAGAGTTTATTTGAGCCAAACTAATGATACATGCCAAGGAGCCAGATATCAGATGCTTCCAGTTTATCTGTTTCTTTTTTTTAAGATTTTATTTATTTCTTTTTAGAGAGGGAAGGGAGGGAGAAAGAGAGAGAGAAACATCAATGTGCGGTTGCTGGGGGCCATGGCCTGCAACCGAGGCATGTGCCCTGACTGGGAATCAAACCTACGATGCTTTGGCAGTTTATCTGTTTCTTGAGTGAGCTTTGGTAGTTTGTACCTTTGGAGGAATTTGTTCACTTAATCTAAAGTGTCCAATTTATTGGCGTAACAGTGTTGATAATATTCCCTTATCTTTGTAGCACCTATAAAATCTATACTGGTGTCATTTATTTCGTTCTTGAGATTGGCAATTTGTGTGTTTCACTTCTTGATCAGTCTCACTAGAGTTTTATCTATTTTATTGCTTCTCAACCAACTTTGGTTTTATTGACATTTCTATGTTGTTTTTCAGTTATCTGTTTTGTTGATTTTTGCTCTGATTTTTATTATTTCCTTTCTTTTGTTTCCTTGGTTTAAGTTGTTCTTTTTCTAGCTTTTGAGGTTGAAATTCAGGTGCTGATTTGTCATCTTTCTTCTTTTCTAATATAAGCACTTTCATACTACGTGCTGTTGTGGCTGGAGCCGCCCGGGTGTTTCTATTGTATTTTTTGTCTATTTCCCTTCAGTCCCCTTGTACCCCCCTCCCTCCCACAGTCACAAGTTCTGATTTCCACTCGGTTCAAAATACTCTCTGATTTTCTGTTGATTTTTCTTTTTTGATTCATGGGTTGTTTAGAAATATGTTGTTTAGTTTACAAATATTGAGCATTTTCCCAAGATCTTTCTGTTACTGTTCCTAATGTAATCAGAAAACATAAAAAGCAACTTGAATCCTTTCAAGTTTATTGGGACTACTTCATGGCCCAGGGTTTGTTTATCTTGGAAAATAAGTGTTCCACCTGCACCTGAAAAGAGCATATATTTTACTGTTGTGCAGAGTGTTCCATACACGTCAGATTGGATAACAGTGTTCAAGTCTTCTGTGTCCGTATCTCGATGTCGACAGTTGGTCTACTTTTTTAAAAATACTGTATCTATTTGTCTTTAGTGGGAAGGGAAGGGAGGGAGATAGATCTAGAGAGGGAGAGAAATATCGATGTGCAGGAGTTACATCAATCAGTTGTTTCTCACGTGCCACCAACTGGGGACCTGGCGTGCAACCCAGGCATGTGCCTGGACCAGGAATCAACCAGCGACCTTTCGGTTCACGGGCCGGCACTCAGTCCACAGAGCCGTACCAGCCAGGGCTGTCTGCCTGCACTTTGTACCAAGTATTGGGAGGGGCGTATTGAAATCCCTGGCTATAATTGTAGATCTATTTGGGTTTTTTTAAACTTTGAGACACAGTTCACATGTCTATGCAATTCATCCATTTAAGTATACAACTAAATTTGTTTTTGTCATTACCACTGTCCAATTTTTGAACATTTTAGTCCCCCCACCAAAAAGAAACCACATGCTCATCAGCAGCCCCTCCCCATTTTCCACCCTCACCACAGCCCTAAAGAACTAAAGATCTACTTTCTTTTCTTTTTTTAATTCTTTTTAAGATTATTTATTTATTTTTAGACAGAAGTGAAGGGAAGAATAAAGAGAGTGAGAGAAGTATCAATGTGTGGTTGCCTCTTGCACACCCCCTACTGGGGACCTGGCCTGCAACCCAGGCGTGTGCCCTGACTGGGAATCAAACTGGTCACCCCTTGGTTCTCAGGCCACTGAGCCACACCAGCCTGGGCTTGAGTATTCTTTATGACCAGTTTCCAGCAGATGGCAGTAAAAGTTCATGAGGACGGGGTGGTTTTTCTGATTTGCACGAAGGTGGATTTGCATTTAGTGTCTTCATCCCGTTTCCTTTCACTCTGGGCGCCAGCCTTATCCTCTAAGCATTTCTTTCTTGTTCTTCCTTTCCAACATTTCAAACTTAAAGAATAGCAAGCATAGTACAAAAAAATTCCCATGTAACCCTTGTTCGAGCATACCAGTTCTTAAGTTCAGTTACTTTTGCTTTATCACTCCATCCCTGTATCTGTAGATGTGTGTGTGTGTGTGTGTGTGTTTTAAATCCTCATCCAAGGACATGCTTAGAGAGGGGCAAGGAGGGAGGAAAACGTCGGTGTGAAAGAGACATCGAGTGGTTGCCTCTCGTGTGTGCTCCACCAGGGACCAAACCCACCACCAAGGCATGTGCCCTGACCAGGAATTGAACCCGAGACCTTTGGTGTGTGGGATGATGTTCCAACCAACTGAGCCACGCAGGCCAGGGCATATATGATAGATACATGCTTTCTCCTGACCCATTTAAGAGCTGGTTGCAGGCTTCCTGCCCTGTACCCCTAAATACTTTGGAGTGTGTTTCTTTTGAACAAGAATTTTTTTTGTTTGATAGTACACTTAAATTTTTATCAAATTTAGGAAACAATGCTGATAGTGCCTTTATCAGTTATATAGCCCACATTCAGATCCTCTCAGTTGTCCCTGTGGTGTTCTTTATGGCTCTCCTTACCCCCGCCGTCCAGTCTGTGGGCACGCTTGGAGTTTATGTGTTGTCGAGTTGCCTGTTGATCACACCACTGACGTTTTCGAAGAATACAGGCCAGTCGCTTTGTAGACTGTTTCTCAGCCTGCATCTGTCTGGTGTTTCCCATCGGATCCTGGCTGTTTTCCCTAGAATACCGCAGAAGCGATCCTGTGTCCTTCTCAGGGCCTCACATCAGGAGGCACGTGGCGTCAGCCGTCCCATACTAAGCACTCTGTGTTGAAACTGCTCCCGTAGTTACGTGAACAGTGACATGCGCGCACTTGGACTCTGAGTACAGGGATTGCTCTCGAAAGCAGACAGTGTCCTCTTCAGCTTTCCGTCCAGCCGGGTGCGCCTGAGTTACCTCCCACGTCTCTCCTTCCTTTGCAACATCACGGTCTGGGACTCGCGACCTCCCTGCAGTGACCCTGACACCTCCGCTTTCTCCTAGTAGTTATATCCCCTGGCCGGACTCCTGGAACCTCTGACCATTTGTTCATTCTATACAATGAGTGTGTCTTCAGTGTTTTCTTAGTTTCAAGTTAGGTGTCCTTGGCTCTGGCAAGGCTAGGCTTCAGAGCAGTGTTAGAGTTGACTATGGGGAGGAACTAGGTGCCAGGGTGTCCGTTGGAATCAGATTCAAGTTCATTTTACCCTCAATCACAGTCTTCCAAGCTAACCATGTTTTTCTTATAGTTCAAGTTTGCGTGGTTACTGTGTCATTTACAATGCTAAGTTTTCTACATGCTTTTGCCTTATATATTATATATTCCTTAAAACAAATCTAGGAAATAGATGTCACTTTCTTCATTTTATAGATGACAAAACAAAGATTTAGAAAGGTTAATTAACGTAATAACATTACCAGGACTCAAACTCATGTTTCTCCAACTCCAAAACCCTTGCTCTTTTTTAATATAAGCAAAGAGTAGCAGAGAAGAAACTTGCAATAATAGAGCTGTTACTGTCGAACGTAGCCTTCACAGGTTGAAATTCAAACGTGGTGTCATTGCTAGATTGGAGGTAATCGCTAGCAGTTGATACCCAGGGTTTTTGAGGTCTCTTCAGGTAGAAGAACTTAGATTTTTCCAGTTTGGATGTCCGCAGCCATAACACCCACTTGCCTGGGACAGGCTCAGTTAGTTCCCGTTTCCTAACAATTATTCATAGCACCCCCACTTACTTTCAGAAGTATCATGGTTTAGCCAGTGATATGGTCCCTTACCCATAATCCGTCCTGAGTACTCGTCCAGATAACATGGGGACCGGTGTTTCATTGTACGTCACACTGATAGCAAGGCTAGGCTTCAAAGCAGTGTTAGAGTTGAATATGGGGAGGAACTAGGTGCCAGGGGGTTGATTGGAATCAGATTCAAGTTCATTTTACCCTCAGTCACAGTCTTCCAAGCCAACCATATTTAGGAGCTTGATTTATTTTTATTCATGACTCTCTCTGCCCCTCAGCCCAATTTATACATTTCAGTTTAGCTTTGGTTTAATGGCGTGTTACCCTAACTGACCTATAGGCGTAGTCTGCTTAATTTAGTCAGCAGTTACCAAGATTTTACCACACTTGCTCTACCATCCTTTCTGCTGAAACATTCAAAGCAAATGGTACTTTACCCCACTGTGCTTAAGTAGGAGTCACCTCTAAAAAGTAAGTTCCCAAGTTTTTATAACCCTGTCCAGAAACCAGAGGAGCCTTCTGCGCTGGGCACCACCATCCCTGACAGGTGGTTTTCCCGCACCAGGTTCTGTGAAGGAGGGGCCCCTGCAACTGCGTGCTAGGCTGGTGTTTCCCAGGCGTGCAGGACACCGCCTAGGGCAGTCCCAGCCTGCGGCGCCCGGGGGTCCGGTAACCTGTGTCCCCTTTCCTCCTGGCAGTGCACGACCTGATTTTCTGGCGGGACGTGAAGAAGACCGGGTTTGTCTTCGGCACCACGCTGGTCGTGCTGCTCTCCCTGGCCGCTTTCAGTGTCATCAGTGTGGTTTCTTACCTCATCCTGGCCCTGCTCGTGGTCACCATCAGCTTCAGGGTCTACAAGTCTGTCATCCAGGCTGTACAGAAGTCAGAAGAAGGCCATCCATTCAAGTGAGTTGAAGGATCACAAGTGACACTCCGCAATTTGGTGGAGGAGTTTGCTGAGACTGGGAAGGTGTAAAAATCAGACCTGACGAGAAATTAAGAATTACAGGGCCTAACGCGACTGAACGGTAGCGTGAAACGTCAGCTGCATACCATGGGATCGCCTTAAGAAGGGACCTTTCAGGAGCCAAGAACTTTCGACAAGCCAGAGTCTCACCCTGTAAGACCCAAGAGGACTGGGTAAATTCCTGAGCACGTTAGGGGACAGGGCGCCTAGGGCGGCCCTTGGTTAGATGGGGCCGAGCGCAGGTGTGGCCTCCACGTCGTGCGGTCTCAAAACGACTGCGAGATCCTGGTGTCGAGGCTGTGCTCTGGGTGGTAATCAGAACTCACTGTGTCTGCCTCCGTTTTATTACTGATTTCCTTCTGATCTCTTCCTAATTTTTCTTAATACCGGGGGCACGTCTTGATGAATGTAGGTCATGCATTTCTGGGATCCAGTTGCTAGCTTTTCAGACGGTGCTGTAACTTAAAATAACTATGTTCCTCACACTTCCTGTTGAAAATTTTAGGCCATAAGAACTTTTTTTAACATTAGCAAGTGACTGTTTTTGTTTTTTAATATTTTAAGATTTTATTTATTAATTTTTAGAGAAGGGAAAGGAGGGAGAGAAGCATCAGTGTGTGAGAGAAACGTCAGTCAGTTGCCTCCCACACACTCCCAGCTGAGGGCCCAGCCCACAACCCAGGCAGGCGCCCTGACCCGGATTCGAACTGGCAGCCTTGCAGTCAGTCCTCGGGCTGCGCTCGGTCCACTGAGGCACACCGGCCAGAGTGAAGTGACGATTTTTTAAAAACCTTTTTCTCACAGAGAAACCCTGCTGCGGCCTCTGAGGACTGGCAGAATAGGTGTCTGGCCGTGGCTCTGGGCCTTGTATTTTCTCTTGGTGAAAGTGGAAGGAATCATTTAAAGTGTATGTGGCATTTGGAAAGTTATTGCAAATTAGCTTTAACAAATCCATAGTTGTTAAATAAATGAGTGAATAGATTTTACTGTTTTGCCACAGGTTCAGATGTCTTAGGGTTTTTTCCCTCTTGCATGACCCTGTTGTGAACTTGTAAAATGTGTTTTGCAAAGTTCTTTTAATTACAACTACTTTTTATAACTTTTGTTTGCTAGTAAATATTTTCTTAATCAATAGGGGCAAACATGCCTGCTCACTCTGTTTTTCCCACAAGACTGTAGGCTCTCTAAGGCAAAGCAAGCTCCCCTTTGCCGAGAGCCCCAGCACCGCACCCCCTGGTGCTCCCGCGGCGCTCGGTCAGCACCGAGCCAAGGAACGGGTTACGAGTAGGAGGCTCCATCTCAGTTCCGCAGCACCTCTGGGAACAGAACCCAGGTCCGTCGTCTGCTGTGGGGTTTGGTTTGCTTAAACTCAGTAGCTCCGCTCCTTTTTGTTTTTGTTTTTGTTTTTTAAACAAATACTTTATATCTCCTTTTACCATTTTACAAAGAAATTTATAAAATCTATAAACAAAATTTTTTAAAAATAGGTCATAATTGTAATATAAAGGAATGATAAAATAGCCATGTATAATAAAGTAACCTTTATTCCAGTAAATATATAATTGCTTAGAAACGACTACACTAAAAATAACAACAATAATAATGATGAAAATAAAAATATCACTTATACCTACATGTCTAATTTCCAGTGCAGATGTGAGTTTTCAGAATGGTGGGAAAAAACTTTAGTAAAGTTTAACATAAACAAAATACAGTTTTAGAAAATTCAGGATCTGTTAAAACTGGGGGAGGGGGCATCTTGTGACTGTCCCACGCTTTGCAGACATCTGACGTCTTTGCCTCTGTCACTAAATGACACTGATCCCTCCACCCACCCATGACGACAAAAAATGTCCCTGTCTCTAAATGCAACCGTGGGGGCCTTTCACACTCGCAAGAACTGTCGTGCTGGCAAAAGCCATCTTGTCCATCCGCGTCCAACATGCGGCTGTTGCTGCTTCTCCCGGCAGGGCCTACCTGGATGTGGACATCACGCTGTCCTCCGAGGCGTTCCACAGCTACCTGAACGCCGCCCTGGCACACGTCAACAAGGCCCTGAAGCTCATCGTCCGCCTCTTCCTGGTGGAGGACCTGGTCGACTCCTTGAAGGTCAGTGCCGCTGCAGTTCTCGGTGGTGGGCCGAGGAAAACCGGGGGCGCAGTTGTAATTCAGGGGGAAAACAGTAAACAGGGTTTATCCGACAGAAATGATTTATGTGCTCATCTCCATCAGCCTGTAAAAACGGGGATGGGAGTCGTCGGAGAAGGTGTCTCGTGCCTGGAGAACGGACGTCGGAAGGGGGACAGTGTAACTGACAGAAACGCAGTTACAGTCTGTCTTTGGGGCCAAGGGGGCTGCAGGCTCCTCTCGGGCACCCTCAAATGTACCACGCAAGTGGGGTAACCTTATTTTGCAATTACGGCATACATCACTAAACTCACGTAGACTTAATTAGCTGGAGGAAAACGGCGTCCATTAACCTGAATTTTGTGTTAAAATTATTCCTGCTTAACCCTGTGATGTTGGCCTTCACAGCTGGCTGTCTTCATGTGGCTGATGACCTATGTGGGCGCCGTTTTCAATGGAATCACCCTTCTGATCCTGGGTAAGGTGGCAGGGGAAGCGCCTGCATGCTCTGTGCAGTGATGGGTAAGAGCGGAGCCAACCGAATGCCCAGCATGGCCCCCCTCCTTGCGCGTGGCCCAGCCTTGAACGTGCTTAGAAACCTTGAACTAGATATTGAAGGAGCCTGTGTTTGTGGCTATGGGTTCATTAAATGGTCCTGGTTTTAAAGAAATATGAAAACAGCTAGACAGAAAGGAGAGTCATCCAGATTTGATTTAAATATAGGGGTCTCACTTGTAGAAATCACCTTCATTATTTGGAAATTCTCTGTGGTAGCCTTTGTGCCTGCGTCTGACTGTCCTTCATTGAGGGAGCTAGCCAGAATTTTTCATATTGAAGATCTGTGTTCTCCTGTGTGTCATGAAGAAAAGTGTGTTACTTGAGTCCTGACACCTTGCGACTGTCCCACGTTTACACTTGCCGTGTCCCACGGTTCTGTCTTCCAGCCGAGCTGCTCGTCTTCAGCGTTCCCATCGTCTACGAGAAGTACAAGGTGAGCGCCGGCCTGTTCCGCCTCGGGCGTGCCTGTTGACGTGTGACTGGTGTTTCAGTCCGTTTTTGGGCACGGAGAGTTCAGAGCAGTCCCTCCAGACTCTCCCCGCAGCCTGAGTTTGCCCAGTCAGGTGCCTGCGAGACTGGGGGGCGGGTTTCCTCCGAGCAGGACGCTGGCAGGGGGAGAGGAGGGAGAGGGGGGCCTGGAGGCCGCCTGTTGCACTCCGTCGCGTGCCTTCTGTGTTCTCATCACGTGGCCACGCCATTTGTTCAAAAAAAATAATAACTTGAGAAAGTTTAAGTAAAAGCTCATGTCTAAAAAGAAACTATGAAGGGACTGTTAAGGCTGCTCGGGTGGTCTGTCAGCACGGACAGATGTCTGCACTGTGGAATGGCGTATGCGGGGTGTGTACTAGGTTCTGTGGGTTCCTCTCTACGGGTTAAGGCATCCATCCACGGACTTCGCGGTTTTTTGGTGTTAGATTAGCCTTGCCCAGTAGCCAGAACACATTTATGATCACAGCAAGTAGATCAGGACACACATTACCCAGTACTGAGAAAGTGCCCAGGGTCTGCAAAGGAAACACCCAGCAAGGAAGTAAGACTTCACTCTGCAGAAGAAATCAGTGGTTTCACTGCAGCTGAGTATGGGGTGTTCTGTGGCTTAATTTGAAGTCTGAAGTCCTGGAGTTTAAAGATTGCTTTGAAAAGCTGGGCATTATTTTCATTTTCCAGAATATTCAATAGTGTTTTTTAAAAAGTTACTCCAGACAAAAGAGCGTTACCTCCAGGGAAGCTGTCGGTCTGTGTGGGGCCACAGCTGAGTCACTTTCCTCCCTTGCAGACCCAGATCGACCACTATGTGGGCATCGCCCGCGACCAGACCAAGTCGATCGTGGAGAAGTAAGTGTGCTCGGGTTCCCTGTCACTGCCGGGTTCCCTGTCACTGCCGTGCTGTGCGTGCCCTCGGGGGGTGGGGGGCCCTTGGTTAATAGTTTGGTTTTACAAGAAATTGTCTCATCTGCTTCTTTAAAAGCACATTCTTTGTATCTTAGATTAAAAAGCGTCAATGGGAAAAATTGCTAGTAGATACGTAGAGAGTTGCTTGAAGTAAAATGCTTCTGTTGTAAGTTACAAAAGAACAGAGGGGATCAGTGGGGTCAGGACCACTCTGCCCTGGGAACCGGCTCTGAGTGTTGGCGGCCGCCTCCCTCTCCTTCCCTTTAATCCGGGTCCACCGAGAGCCAGACTCGCCCGTCTCTGCTTTCTCTAGAAGTAGGCGTTGCAGTAAGTGCCTTCAGGGCCAACGCTGCTCCTCTCCTGAGATGATCGGATCCGTTTTCCTTTCTAAAACCAATTTAATTTAAATCAAATAATGAAACATTAGCAGACGTTTTTAACTTTGCATTATTTACAGCAAACACTATGAGCCGAACACTTCAAAACTGTGAGCAGTTTTCTATTTTTTCAGATATTCTTTACAAAGAAACAAAACATCAGAGTGAAATCCACCATTTGCTTCCGTACCTTTCATACCCCAGATTTTAGTGCTCTTTCCGGCTTTGATAACAGGAGGCTGGTTGTGCCCACACAGCTCTGGCGTGATCCAGGGCCTTTACCTGTTCTTTCAGGTGCACACTGGAGCTGAAACCAGGCAAGGGCAGTTGGCACAAAATGTGTACCTAGGTGCTGTTCACTCCTGATTTTGTGGAACGTGGTTGGTCAAAGCCTAGCTTTACACCTGCCGTCTTGATTAGCTTCCCTCGGCCCCCTGCCGTGGGGTGTCACACTTGCGGGACTAGCTTCCACATTAGCTGAGGGGTGTGAATGACCTTGGTAATGATGACCCTTCATAAACAAAATAAAGGGCAGGGAGCTGGGAACTATTGGCAGCTCCTATAGTTTTTCAGATATGTCTCCTTGACCTTGACTCCTGGGACCCTTGACTTCTGATTCTTTTTTGGTACCAGCGGGTGATCTGGCATTTACAGAGCACTGGGCTCTTCTGCTGCCAGTGTGGAGAGCACAGTCAGCAGACATTACTCTTCTCTGGGACCCCCAGTGAAGGACCCGTGAGGTTCTGGCAGCAAAAGGGGGCAGGCAGCAGGCTCAGTGGTAGGGACGGGGAATGGATCTCGGTGCAGCCCATGCCAGACCCGCATCGTCCAGAGTGAGCCCCCGGGGATGGGAGCCTGCCGCTCCCACCCCTCCCCCGGCGTGCCCGGGCCTGTCCTCCAGCATCACTGCTGGAGTAACCACCTAGAACTAATGGCTGCTTTCACCTTTTCTCTTCCTCCTCAATAGGATCCAAGCGAAACTACCTGGAATTGCAAAGAAGAAGGCAGAATAAGTACATGGAAACCAGAAATGCCACTGTTACTAAAACACCATTTAATAGTTATAATGTCGTTACTTGTACTTTGAAGGGAAGTGCTCGGTGTCAGCTTGAGCCTGCATTCCAAGCTCTCCCCTCCCCCCTCCCCAATTTAGTGTTTCCTCCTCCTCTCCCTTTCCCCGCAGTATCAAGCACAAGAATTATTGGACTAAAAAGTGAACTGATATCTTAGAACCCAAAAGAGTCAAGACAGAACCAGTTGAATGGATAAATCAATACCTTAATGGTGGTGGTGGAGCTTGAAAGGGGAAAGATTGGTGGGTAGAAGAAAAAAAAGGAAGATAAAACACATCTTTTGGGTTCTTCTATTTAATTTTCAAAGCTATGTAATTTTCTTACATAGCTTCCCATCATAATTCCGCCCAGTTTTTAAGTTAAGAAATAATGGTTAACCTCAGAAGAAATTATCTGAGGACAAGAGCGGGGTCCTTCCCACAGGTGTGCGTCTTTTGCAGCCTCACCCCCTTCTTCCTGCCCCACCACGGGAGCGGCTACCCCTCGTGACCCCCCTTCACTTATCGATGTGACTTCCAACTCTGTGAATAACGTATAGGCGGCAGTGATACCCTGGTTCCCAGAATGCCCCCTGGTAGCCGGGCGTGGGCACAGACCGTGGGCCTGGGGGGGGGGTCGGGGGCGCCGCCCCTCCCGCTCTCAGCCGGGGAAGGAAAGGCTCCACCACTGGGCCCGGTGTCGGGGCCGCTCCGGACGGCAGTTCTGAGCTTCAGTTTGAGAACGCATTCCTGAACGTGCTTTCCTCCCTCGCCCCCGTCCACCTCACCTCAACTTTAATAAATATGGTCGTACTTTTCTTCTTATGAAATAAATGTCTGTAACTGCTGTACGCTGCTGTAAACTTGTCAGAGAAAAACCTGCATGTGGGCTCCTCGGTCGTCGAGTCACCGTGATCCCGTCTCAGTCCGTGTGTGGTGAGGGGGGCGTTCTCAGGAGGTGAGCTACGGAAACACGGGCGTTTTCTCCTTTATCTTTTCCCCCGCAGCTTCCTCCTTCACAGCCTACGTCTTTTTTTAATCCTCACCCAAGGATGTTTTCTGATTTTAGAGAGAGAGAGAGAAACATCAATGTGAGAGACATCAATCAGTTGCCTCCCATACGCGCCCCAGCCAGGGAGTGAACCCGCAACCTTCTGGTGTACAGGAGGATGCCCCAACTGACTGAGCCACCCAGCCGGGGCCGCGGGCTACTTCGTTAACCTCCATTCCTCCTCTAACCCCGAGGGCCCCCGCTGAGCTGGCTTGCGAGGACATGATGTGTGTCTGTAGTTGAGACCACAGCGTAGTGTAGGGAAGTACATTTTGTGGTTCACGTGGAGTTCTAACTTGGAGGCCAGCTTCTGGGCTGTGTGTTAGTTTTGAAGGTTCCTTTCCTTTCCGGGCACAGGAAATGTGGGAGAGCGCCTTTGCCGTGGCCCGGGGCGCTCCCTTTGAGAAGGTTTCCCAGGAAGCACTAGGTGAGGGCGGCCAGGCAGGGTCAGGCGCTGCTGGTGGGCTCTGTGCACAACTAAGACAGCCGAACAGCTCACGTTGCCGGCAGACGGAGGGGACCGGGAATCCAAGGTTCCCGTGTGAGATCGCGAAGTGTCTTCCTCCCCTCAGAGTGTGAACATTCGGTGAACTCGAAAGCCATCTATGAGTTCCTCCTTGGGGCAGTAGCTTGTGCTGAGAACCCGGAGGGGATGCGCGCTGGGGACTTGCAAGTAAGGCCTGCACCCTCAACAGTCCCAGAGCGCGCGACTCTGTAGAAGGCAGCAGGAGGAGTCTTTCTGCTTTGGGGGGAATTACCTAGGAATTTAGATGGGTAAAAGGTACCCTTGCCTTACTCCATTCTCATTTTCTCGGCCCGCTTTCCTTTTGAACGTGCTCACTGGTGGTGTGTCACAGACCCGAAATCACCTCCGCCGTCCCCGCCCTCCCCCGCCCGGAAGGCGGCCGCACGCGCGGATCACCATCCGGGCCTCCCGTCCGCCGGACCGTGTTCTGCCCTGGAAGCCTCCGCACCCAGCTCTTCGGTTTTGTTATGCCGTGTTTAGGTGATTGGACAGAACTTTGTGCCACACAGGATTTTTTTTTTTTTTTAAGAAAAACTTATAGATGAAAAATCACTAATGAAGCTGTGTACGTGTATGTGCGTGCAACATAAAAATACAGTAGCACCTAAGGAGCTTGAATCTTGGTTCCTGTAAAACTGCAAATTGATGTGGTATTAATAAAAAATAAAAAAAGACGGCGGTGTCGTTCTGCTAACTTTATTCTCTATACACAGTTTGGGTAAAAGAAGAGCCAGGCAAGGCTTCCACGGGCCCCCCATCCCCGCTCCACTTCTGAGGCGTTAAAAAGCAACTAACAGCTGGTAACCGGCATTGATGCCCACAATTGCAGAATTTCCATAGTAGAGCAAAGATGTGCATTTGGTTTCTGAAAGAAAGTAAGAGCCCCACCAAGAAGTGAGCTCAGGAGGAACATGAGGAGTGGAAGGCGGCGGCGGGGCTTGCTCTCCCGGTTCAGCCTCACCCCAACCTAGGAGGGCTCCCCGCCTGCAACACAGGAAGCAGCCTCTGACCACACATGGCTACAAAGCACTTAAAAATCTGCGAGTCAGTCGCCATGGAGAATGGAAACTAAACACGTCGGTCTTCGCTGAAACAACTGGTCACCTGGGACTTGCCCTTCTCCAACACTAAGGCTGCCGTGACCTTACGCTGGAATTTAGAAATTTACTCAACATACCTCTTAGGAAACTTAGGCTGAAATTTAAAAAATAGCTGATGCAAACTTCACGAATACGCACACAAATGTCCAAATAATGTCACTAACATGGTATATAAATATGTATTCAGAGTAACATTTACATATTGGCCATAATAGCAAGCATACCATTAACAAAAAATTCATGAAGAGACTTCACCTGTTCATGTCCGACTCTGGGGACAAGGAGGGTCACCTAGAGAGGAGGACCCCCTGACCCCTCAGCAGTGAGGCCATTGCTCCAGGGGCACGTCTGGGTCACCGGGGCTCGGCACTGCAGCGAGGCTGGTCTGGTCGAAGGGCTTCCCAGAGATGGCTGGGCCCCGCCCCAGATTCTGCCTCAGTCAGGCAGGGCCCGGTAATTTCCATTTCTGTGAGTTTTCTGATACAACACTGCTGGTCTGGTGGCCACTCAGAACCACTGGAGTGTCAGGAAAGCCATCCCCTCCTGTGGGCCTAAGGCCTGTCCCTGCCTATCCAGAGGAAAGAAATACCACTCCTAACCAGCTCCCTGTCCTGGCTTACCTGACCTTCAGCAGTGGGCGTGGGTGACTACGACAGGTTTGCCCCCATATGCCTACTGTTTTTGAACAGAGTAGCAGACGTGTTAGAATACTCATTCTGGATCTGAAAACAATGTGTAAAGGAAAATAAAAGAATGGCAGTACCCAGCCTGGTGCCATCCATAATCCTTGGTCTCAAGCTTGTAATACTGTTTCAAAAGCCCTGGAGGTTCACACTGGTGATTCCCTTTCCCGTCGACTGAGGGCCCGTGCAGGATCTGCAGGCTCCCTGGAGGCGGCAACTGGGGACACAATTCCTGAGCCCTTGCCTTACAGGGAGGACCTCGGAGGCCTTGGCCCAGGCGGCAAACCCTAGGTTCGCTGCAGAAGGCCGCTGCCCACGCCCCCAGCTGAAGCCTATGGCGGCAGCAAGACCTGCCGGGAAGAGGACTCGGTCAGGGAAGGGTGCGGTTTTCTGCCATCCCCAGATCACAACGGACTGCACTGTGGTAGCCTGCAGCACCCGGCCCGCGCCGCCCTAGGGCGGGCCTGGCAGGAACTCTCTATAGTTGACCAGACTTCGGGAGGCAGTGTCATGTAGTGCAAAGAAACTGAACTGGAAGTTGGTTTTTATTCTAGTTTCTGTACTGCTCCCAGCTGGCTGCGTGATCATTTCCGTTTCTGGGCTTTGTTTTACCAATCCGTGAAGGGGGTGGGGGCAGATGCTACTTGGTCTCCAAGGTCTTTCCAACTCTGACAATCTTGAATTATATAAAAATGCTATAAAATCTGTGATATAAAATCCAATTCCCAAATCAGGAAGAGTCCAGGGGGCTGGGCCTGAGGCACTTGAACCTTGGGCTCTGGTCTGTGGGGGGCTGGGATGAGAAAGGGCTTCCTCGTTGCTATCTGCTTTCTCACCCACAGAGGCGACCCCAGGCCCCAGGGCCCCTCCACCTCCGGGCCCGGCTGTCCAGTCCCACCGGCTGACCTCCCCATTCTCAGGCCTTGAGGCCCAAAGAACTGGCCTGGCTCTATGAGGAGCAGACACCGGGGCCCGGAGAGTCACGGCCTGGGATGTTTGGGACCCTCTCATCCCCTCTGTCCTTGCTCCTTGAAGTACTTCCTCCACCACCTCACAGCTTATCTCTGATACACGCATAATAAATAAGACATTTGCACATAAGGGTGACTGGGACAGCTCTCTCCCCGCCCCTCCCCTCTCATATAAAAGCATTAAATACAGTTTCAAAATAAAATACAAAGAGCAAAAAGGGCCTGATCTCGGGGCCACCTGTTCTCCACAGGAGAATGAATCTACACATCCCTCTCGGACCTGCCTGGGAGATCGCGGGGCCCCTTCCCGGCCCCACAGGGCCTGGCACTGCCGCGGGGAAGAGAAAGGAAGGCCGAGGCTCGGCCCCAGGCCCTGGGGACTGAGAACGGGTGGCGCGCCCACCGCGTACAAAGGGGGGACAGGGAAGGAACGGGAATATACTGCCAACTGCCGGGACCTCCAGTGTCCCGGGTTTGGACCCATGGAGGCGCTTCAATGAAGCAGCAGCGTCTGAGCGGAGGGGTGAACAGAGGCCTCCGTAGCAGAAGAGGAGCAAAGGAGAAAGTACTAATCCCTTTACAAGATCGCGGTAAGGCGGGCGCAGGGAGGCGGCTGCGGCCGCCAGCGTGCTATCCCCGCAGAGCTTGCCCAGCGAGCAGGGCGCAGCCAGCGGACCCCGGCCCAGCTCCGCCCCGCCCCCGCCCCCGCCCCCGCCCCGCCCCGCGGTCCCACGCGCCTTCCAGCCCGGACAGGCTCTCGGGCCCCGCCTCCGGTGCAGGCCTGCGTCGGCAGTACAGGCTTGGGGCGGCTGAGAACACCAAGGGCCAAGGCAGCCGGCCGGACCCGGGCACCTAGCCTGCCGGCGTGCAACACCGCCAAGCTGGGACCCAGGCCAGGGAAGGGGCCTTCCCGCCAGCCCCCCTTGGGGTCCTAATACTGACTGTAGGCGCCCCCATCCTGGTCCCGCACAAGGTCGCCTGGCCGAGGCTGCAAGCGCTCGGTGCAGACGCCTGGAGACCGCTGTGGCTCCTCGGGAAACGGGGCCCTGCGCGTGGAGGGCCAGGGCCGGAAGTCCGGCCAACTCGGGAGTTCGTGCCATGGCACCCCGCCGATCCTCAATCTCCGCCCGGCCCGGCCAGCGGGGGGCGGCGGCGGCGCTCTCCCAAGCCAAGGGCCGCCCCCGCCCGGCCCGCGAGTCGGCTACGCCGGTTACGCCCGACACACAGCGCCCGCCTTGAGGTCCGTGCCGCCGTCGCGCGGCGCCGGGGCCGGCGGCCCAAAGCCCTCGTGGCCGTAGCACCGCAGCGCCGCCTCCTCATAGGCCTCCAGGATGGTCTGGCGCTCCTCGGGGGTGAAGTCCATGGAAAAGGGGTGCACCTGCAGGATGTGGCGCTTGATGGTGCTGACCTTGAGTGTGGCCAGCGCGCCGCCGCACACCATGCACACCAGGCCGCGCCGGCTGCCGTCGTAGTCCATCAGGTACTCGCCCCGCCAGCGCGGCTGGTAGTTTCGCCGCTGCTCTCGGCTGCGGGGCGGCGGCGGAGGGGGAGGCGGTGGCGGAGGAGGAGGCAGGGGCGGGAAGGCAAGTCCCCCGGGCTCTTGGCCATCCTCGTCGTCTTCCTCTTCCTCGGTAGGCCGCTCCGATGTCTCCCCAGGGGAAAGCGGGGCATCGCCTAGGAAGGGACAAAGGGCCGCACTGGAGCAGGTGGGCAGAAAGCAGCCCGGGTCCTGCGTCTCAGCTCCACAACCCCCCACCTCTGCCCCCCCGCCCCACCCTCCCCAGTCTGCTCTCCAGCCTTCCACATTCCCTGACCGCTTCTCTACCCCAGCACTCCCCAGCCCGTTCTCCCTGCCTGGCTGGGCCCCGGCCCCTCTCCCTCCACCTGCTCTGGCTCTCCACCAGCTCACCCCACCACTCCTCCTCCTCTGGCTCCTCCTCCTCGTCCCCTCCCCCCTCCTCGGAGGCTGCGGCTGTGCTGGGGGCGGCAGGGTCCTTGGGGGACTCGGGGCAGGGCAGCCCCAGGGCCAGCAGGTGGGTGGCCTTCTCGCTCCACTCCTGGGCGATGAGGGCTTTGACAGGCCCGCTGAGGCGCGTGGAGCCCGGGTGGCGCTGGCGGATGTGCCGCTTGATGGTGCTCATCTTGAGCGAGGCCAGCGAGCCCCCGCACACCATGCACACCAGGCCGCGCCGGCCGCCGTCCAGCTCCATGAGGTACTCCAGTCGCCAGCGTTCCTGGTAGTGGCGGCGGTGGTCTCGGCCTCGTGGCCACCGGCCTGGGACCCCCACCCCCTCGCCTGCCGGCCCGGGCCTCTTAGGGACCCAGCCAGCCTCTTCCTTTACGTCTGGGGGGCTGAGATCCTGAGAGGAGGGGGCTCCAGCAGCGGGGGCCGAGTCCCGGCTTTTTCTGGTCAGGTCCTGGGGGACGAGGTCATCGTCTGTTGGGGAAGGGGTGAGGGAGAAGGGCTCAGCCTGCTGGCTGGGTTGCCCTTACCCACGCAGAGGGAGGTCCCTTGTTCCTCACCCCAGCCCCAAGCCTGAGGCCCAAGCCAATGTGTGTGTGTGTGTGTGTGTGTGTGTGTGTGTGTGTGTGTTGGGGGGATGGGGGATAGTGAGTCCCTCCCGGGTTTAGCCAGACCCCACTTTTCAGACCTTATGAGGAGGTCTTGGCCCTGGGATAGGCCTCGCACCTGGTGGGGACTGAGAGAGCTCAGACAGTGTCCCAGCCTGGCCACCCCAGGCCTGTAGCAGGGCGCTGCGCTGCGGGCCGCTGAGCCCCAGGGAGCTGGGGTGCACCTCCAGCACGTGGGCACGGATGTCGTCCAGGTGCAGGCTGGGCAGTGCCCGGCCACAGGCCATGCACACCAGCCGGTTCCCCCGCGGGTCATAGTCCATGAGACACTCGGCCCGGAACCAGTTCTGCAGGGACTCCTTCAGCCTCCGTTCCAAGCGCCGAGCCCCCAGCCCCCTGCTGCCCCCGGCCCTCCGGGAGGCCGAGAGGCGCTGACGCCGAGCCCGGGGTGCCACTGGGCCCCCGCGTCGCTGGCGCCTGCCACCCCTGCCAGCTGGGGCTTTGCCTGAAAGGGTTGGAGGGAGGGAAGGAACTGAGATGCTGGCCCTCTGGGGGAGCCCCCCCCACCACAGCCAGGTCCTCCACAAGCCTCTCCCTCACTGTGCGCCCCTGGCCTAGCCATTGTCCTCTTCCTCTCCCCTCAAGTCTTAAACCCTCCATCCCCTAACCCTCCTGTATGCAAACCCCAAGGCCCGCCCCCTCCTCCCACAGACCCTTCTCTGGACGGCACTGCCGGCCGCATCTCTCCTGCACCCTCTGTGCCCAGCCCTGCCCCTGCGGCCTCCCCTCAATCCTTCTAAAACAACAGAATGTCAGAGCCGTCTGGGATACTAGAGACTCCCTTGTCCCACTGTCCCTCCCGCACTATTGTACAACAAGGGCAATAAGCAGACCCCACCCAAAGGAAGTCAGCTAGTTGGCTGAGAAGGCAGGGTTGGGCCCACTTGGCCCCACCTGCCACCCAGGCCCCTGCCTCTCCAAGGGCGACGTTACCTGGGCCCTTGGGTGGGCAAGCTTGGAGGTTAGCCCCCTCCTCCTCCTCTTCCTCTTCCTCCTCCTCTTCCTCCTCTGCCCCCTGGGCCCCGAGGCCGTCGGCCTCTCCACAGGACCCCAGCCCCAAGTGGGCATCCCAGCTGTTGCTGATGACTTCCTTCTCCCGGGGACTCCAATGCAGGGAGTAGGGGTGCTTTTGGCGGATGTGCCGCTTGATGGTGCTGAGCTTGAGCGTGGCCAGGGAGCTGCCGCACACCATGCACACCATGCCGTGCCGGGCAGGGTTGAAGTCCATCAAGTACTCTAGCCGCCAGTGGTCATGGTAGTATCGCCGGTGGTCACGGCCCGGGATGCGGCTCTTTCCAGGCCTCGAGGCCCAGGCCTCACAGTGGTCTGAGTACTTCCTGCCTGCGGATGCTGGTCCCCTGGCCCTGGAAGAAGGAGGTGGGGCACTCCCCCAGGACCCCAAGGCACCCCCTTCCAGATGAAGATCTTGCCCTGAAGAGGGGGAAAGGGAGACAGTTTCTCAATCTCCAATTTCCAAGGAAAGAACCCAGGGCTTCGATTTTTGCAGCCCAAGGAACGGGGGAGGGAGGGGTCGTTCAGGGGCAGGAAAGGGATGGGATGGCAACAGCAATAAAAGGGACATGGGAGAGCAGGGAGTCAAAACATTGGCCCTTTACGGACAGCGAGGGCCCTTTAAGAGAGGATCAAGAACAAAAGGATGCAGGACCCTGTGAGGGACTAGCTCGGACTTTTAAAAAAATAAGGTGAAGACCCAGGAGGCAGCCAGCTCTGTAGGTACCCTTTTTGGACAAGAGCCTTAGGGGTAAAGCCAGGAGAGCAGCAAGCCGGGGCGGTTACAGCTGGAGCAGAGCGGGCAGCGGGGCGAGAACAAAGGGGGCGCCTGTCTGCATCCAGGGCCGCACAGAGGACCCACCCGCCCGAGGCCCTGGCCAGGAGGGCCCCACCCAAGGAGCTTCTCCCTCTTTCCAGTACAGGCTCCTCAGAGTCCCATTTTATGGGCACTAGGCTTGGTCAGTTTCCCAAATTATAGGCAGCCACAGGAGGGATCCCTATGACAAAGCTGTCAACACCTCCAGGGAAAGGCGTTTTTTAGGACCCTGACTTTCCTAGGGGACAGCAGAAGGGCCACCAGAGTGGCTACTGAAAATTCTGCAGCAGGGAGTGGCCCCCACCCCTGGGAGACCATTAAGTCTTTCTGGGGATTTGATTTTTGCTCTGGCAGGGAGCCAGCCACTGCCCAGCAATCACAGGGCAGCAACCAGAGTGGTCGGGGCAGAACCCACAAACCCAGCAGTGCTCCCTTTTGCCAAAGAGACAGATCCTGAACAGTCCCCGCCCTCCCTACGGTTTGGACCCAATTTTATTTCAGCTGAATAGCCAGGTGTGATCATTATCCAAGCCGAGAATCTCAGGGTCTGGGAAACAAAGACAGGAATAGAGACGGCTCCTGTCACCATTGTGGTTTTTGTTCAAATAGCTCCAAAGAACAAACACGGTCTTCAGAGTCAGAGATCTGGATTCGAGTCCTGCCTTCACTGGGAACTTGCTCTTTGACCTTTGACAGGTCTCGTCGCTCTCTGGGCCTAAGCTCTTTGTCTGCCAAAGCACTGGACAGCTAGCTGGTCTCTAAGCATCCTTCCAGCGCTGGATCTGTGCTAGTCTAAGGTGGACTGGCCCTTTAAGAGCCGAAAAAAAGGGGAGGAGCTGAAATTCTTTAAAAACAAAAGGGGATGGGGAGAGTTTCTGGGAGGGGAGCTCCAAGGTTAGGGCAGTCTTCCTAGCCCTGACAGAACCTTCAAGGGTCTTACAGCGTTTACTCTGCAGCAGGAGAATGAAGAAACTGCCTCCTTTGAGAGCGAATAGGGAGGACTGGATGATCCCACTAGAGCTGGCTAATTGTGGCAAATTTTTCTGAAAATACGGGAGGAGATAACACGCGGACAGGAGGGGTTGTCAGCCTTTGTGGGCGAGCCCAACCCTTTAGAACTGCCTGCAGTGGGGAAGGTAGGGGCAGGCCCCCGTCGGTGCGAGCTACGCTCTTTCCACGGGAGAACGCGGTGGGGGGCGGGGGGTGGAGAAAAAGAGTTCCAGTCTCTAAGCAAGAGGATCGGGCCAGCCAGACTTAACACAGCAGAGTTACCAGCTCCGCTCATCTGAGGGTGGCGGGGAGCCCCCGAAAGGGATCCACAGTCTGGGCAGACTTTTAAGAGACAGCCCGATAAGGGAGACCACCTGGGTGTCTGAAAGAGAAAGGGGAGGGAGGGGGGCGCCGTCCAACAGCCTAGAGCGCGCGCCCAGCGGCGCCAAGCCAGGCCCTTTGGGGCCCCTCCGCTGGGCCTCCAAGGCGGGGCCCGCGGGGCCCTTTAAGGGGGAGGGGATCCGCCCGAGCCCTGCAGGCCGACCCCGGGATCTGGGCGGGGGGCTCCCCCGCTGGCCCTGCAGCCGCGATCCGTGCCCGCCAGGTGGCGCCCCCGGCCGCCCTGCCCGCGTCCCCCCCTTTGTTCGGTGGCGGAGAGGGGCCCGGAGCCCGGAGCCGCAGCCCTCCCCTCCCCCATGCCGGGGCCCCCACCCGCCCTGTCGGCCCCAGTCCTTACCACCGTCGTCCTCCTCGGGCTCCGCGCTGCCGCTCGATCCGGAGGGCGGCAGCCGTCGGCCCCGTGCCGAGGCCGCTGCTGGCCCGGGGCCGCCCCTGCCGCTCCGGCTCCGGTGGTCCCCGCTGGGCTCCATGCGCTGTGCTGTGGAGCGGGGCCCCGGGGCGGCGGGGCACGGGGCCGCGGAGCCGGTGACGGCCCGCGCGGGGCGCTCGGTTCGCGGGGTCCCGGGGCGCGGGGCGCATGCACCAGGCAGCCGGCCGCACGGACGGCTGGCTGCTCGCTCGGCGGCGCGGGCTGGACCGGGGTGGGGATTCCTGTCTGGGGGCCCCTGGGGCTCCTTTAAGGGCTCCTGGGTAAATTTAAAGGGGCCGCGCGCTATTTCCTTCTGCCAGCTCGCTGGGGGCTGAGGGGGTGGGGGAGAGGCGGGAGACGACGAGCCGGGTCGAGGCTCCGCAGCCGGTGCCCGCCCGGGACGTTAGAAGAATGAACCTTGCCACCCGCGCGGGCCCCACTGTCGCCTCCGGGGCTCCGGTCCCAGCTCCTGAAGAGTCACCGAGTTGGCGAGGGGCGCCGCGTCCGCTGCGACGCGCCTCTACCCAAGCTCGGCTCGCAGCAGCTACACCCGCCGGGCATCTCAGCGCATCCGCGCCGGCAGGGGGTCGCCCGGTGAGACTGCCTCCTCCGGCGCGAGCTCCGCGCGGGCCCCGGGGCGGACGCGACTGGCAGGGGCCCCAGAAGGCTGCGGCCGGGCAGAGAGGGTGGAGCCGCGGGGGCGGCCGCGCCCCCTCCCGCGGGAGCCGCCCGGGAGCGCCGGGAGTCCTGGCTTCTCCACTGGAGGGGCTGACGGGCGAAGCTGCTACGGAGCCCGCCGGGGCTGCGGCCGCGGAGCCTCGGGCGGGGACAGGGGCGTGCCGGAGACCCGGGAATGGCCGGCTGCGCCGGGGCCCTACTCTGCGGGGTGGAGGGGGCCCTAGGATGGAAGCCGGGAGAAGAGGGCGTGCGCCGCCCTGACTCGGGCTCCTGCCCCCGCAGGCCTGGGGGGGCCAGATGAGACCCTCGACGCAGTCTTAGACCCCTCGCCTGGCCGGAGGAGGCGACGAACGCTGACCCTGGGCGGTGTGTCGGGCACCTGGGGACGGCACGCCACCGAGGTTGGGAAGTACTGGGGCGAACTCTGGCTGCGAGCCCCGGTGTGCCTGGAGCCCCCAGCTCCCGGGAAACAGAGAGAAGGGGCTTGGAGAGGCAGCCGGGGGCGCGGCTACCTCGGGTCCTTCCTCGAGGACCGGCTGACGGAGCAGGTGCTTGGTTTGCCTGTGGTTAGTCGCCCACAACAAAGGCGATTCCTAGAGGTCCAAATGACAGGGTGCGGGAGCCCACGCAGGGTCTTATTATCCAGAGGTGGGTTATTCTCCCCGCTGGGGAGGTCCCAGCAATCCGTTAAGTTCACCCTTGACAGGCTGGTTTGCTCACTCAACACCTACTGTGTGTCAGCCTGCTTTTAGGCACTGGGAATACAGCAGTGAGCAAGATGGACCAGTCTGACATCGTTTAAGATTTAACAGCATGCACGGCTTATAAAAAGGCAGCAATCCCAGCCTTCCGGGAGCCATGGGAAATACTAAATGACGAGGAACACAGGAAGTCCCTCGCCCAAGTGTTTATAAAGAGAGGATGAGCTTAAAATTTCTTAAGTGCCTAAAGGTGTCTGTCACCATTGAAAATGTCCCCTCTCTTCCTCAACCCCGTGATGATTTACAAGAGACATCCCCTTGGGTAAACTGCTGTGCATGCTCTGCTGCTGGCCTTGCTCTCTCAGGGTGGAGCCGCACTTCCTCTCGGCCACTTGGGAGCAGAGGCCCGGGGACTGATGGGGTGTCAGAGGAGGCCCTGAGACAGGAGATTCCTTCCCTCATTATGCCCTTCCCTGTCCCTTCGTGTCAGGCCCAGGGACACAAAGTGAAAGTGAGACACAGACCTGGCTTTCAGGGGCTACTAAGTATTTTATTTCATATTATTTTTATCGATTTATTACTTTTTTTTTTTTTTTTTTAGTTACAAAGGTAACACCCTCAAGGCTGGCCAGGGTGAACCCCTTTGGCCCATGTCCTTCCAGTTTCCGTGTGTATACATAGGATAATTTTATTCGTTACCAAAAGAAAGCTATCAAAGCCACCTGGAGCCATTTTTCACAAGCTCGGGCACTCCTCTCTTTGCCCACATCCTGCAGAGAGCTTCGGGACGGACTCCAGGCTCCACGTTCCAGAGCACTTCCCGCTCAGCCCCTTGTCCTTGCAGACACCCTCTGACGATGAAGCTGCGATGTGCAGATAAGGAAAGGGAGACTTAGAGAGTCAAGAGTCTCAGCCAAAGGCATTTGTTCCTTTTCTCGTCCACTTCTTCAGAAGGCATTAACTGAGCCAGCCCTGAGTGCTGAGCACCCGGCTGGAGATAGAAAGGTTTAAAAAAAAATCACACACCCCTGACTCGCTGCCCCTCTTCATGGGAGCGCTCCATCTTCCGGGTCTACTGTGGGGAAAGGGGGGAAACAGTGGCGACCAGGGCCACGTCATGGTTTTCATGGACCCTGAGTACTTTTGCCTCCATGGGCATCTTCCTCTGTAAAAAGAAATGTGCTCTGGCTGGTGTGGCTCAGTGGATTGAGCGTGGGCTGCGAACCAAAGGGTCACGGGTTCAATTCCTAATCAGGGCACACACCTGGGTTACAGGCCAAGTCTCCAGTAGGGGGTGGGGGAGAGGCGACCACACAGTGATGTTTCTCTCTCTCTTTCTTCCTCCCTTCCCCTCTGTCTAAAAATAAGTAAGTGAATAAAATCTTTTTTAAAAAGAGAGAAATGTGATTTAATAAGTTTTTGAGGACCCTACTAATTTATTTTTTCTTTTTCTTTTAAAATTGATTTTATTTATTTTTAGAGGGAGAGGAAGGGAAGGAGAAATAGAGGGAGGGAAACATCCATGTGTGGTTGCCACTCACGTGCCCCCTACTGGGGACCTGGCCCACAACCCAGACATGTGCCCTGACTGGGAATCGAACCGAGGATCCTGTGGTTCACAGGCCAGTGAGCAATCCACTGAGCTACGCCAGCCAGTGCTCTTTATTTTTTCTAATGTGAGAAAAATAACACATTTTCTTTGACCCTTAAAGTTCATTTTTGTCTTCTTATTTGAAAATAAATTAAAACGTTTTTAGTTGATTTATTTACTTATTTTAAAGAGAGAGAAACATCAGTTTGTTGTTCCACTTATTTATGCAGTCATTGGTTGATTCTTGTTTGTGCCCTGACCAGGAATCGAACCTGCAACCTCAGCATAGCAGGACTGACACTATAAACAACTGAGCTATCCAACCGGAGTTAAAACATTTTCAGGAGCCCCTAAAAGTACCCTGGCTTCTAGGCACTGTGACCTGGGGGCCCAGCGGTTAGCTGGCCTTGATCACAATGCAGGGTGATAAGTGCTAAGGGAGAGGCCACCCAACTGGGAAGACTTCCTAGGAAAGGTATTGCTTGAGCCAAGTCTTGAAAGGCCAGGAGGTGTTGCCAGGAGGAGGAAGCAGCCGGCGCTTTTCAGGCGGAGGCTAGGGATCTGGGGCGAAGGGAGGTCTGGGGTGGGAGAGGCAGAAGAGGAAATAGAAAGGATCAGGGGCCAGACCTCGGGTGCAATGCTGAGAGTCTGTCCTGGAGGCGTGGGGAGTGCCTGGAGCCGGTGCGCAGAACTCAGGGGGCAGCCCCGAGAACACCAGGGAGGAAGGGAGAGAAGGCTGGACACGGCCGGAGCAGACCGCACCGTCAAGAACGACTTCGAGCCAGCAGCGGCAGGGCCAGTGGAGAGGAAGCCAAAGATTTGAGCGCAGCCACCGCACGGCGTGGTGCAGCCTTCGCTGCCCACAAGGGGCGCTAGAGAGGCCGAGGGGGGTGAAATGCCGCTTGTGCCCCGAGGTGAGCCCCGCACTCTGGCGCGTGCCAGGAGGAAAGGACAACCTCACGAAGGAGTTGTTTGTTAGCCAAACATGTGCCTGAAAGCTGCTTCTGCCCAGAAGAAGCATCTTTTCATAATTCTCAAGCCCAGAAGGGACCTTTTTTTACTAATTTCTAGCAAAGACCCCTGGGAGCTTGTCATGGTCCTAGATCGAGCCATGCTAAGAGGGGAGAATCGACAGGATGTGGTGCCTGATTGAAGACGGTGATCAGAGAAAGGCGAGGCTAGCCCCCACGTATCTGAATTAGAGGGCCAGGGATATAAAAAGAAAGCTACATTGGGGAGGGGGGGTGGAGACAAAATGAGGATATTTGGGAGCCTGTTTCAAACCCACAACTTCCCATTTTTGTACTTGCCCCTTCCCCTCCATTCTCTGACTCAGATTCTTAGCCAGCCCCCTGGTGCCTCCAGGACCGCGGGCCTTACTGAGGGTGGCGGGTTTCTCCCTGCGGGGGCCGGAGGCTCTGGGGGCTGAATCAGAGCTGTGGTCCACCACTTGGGTGGCTCCTCCTCAGTCCCCCTGAAGGAAGGGCTGATGCCTAGAATGGAAGCAGTGCGAATAGTGTTTCTGAAGGAAGTTGTTAGGGAATTGTATACATAAACCTCACCAGACCCAAATGTGCCACAAATTCTGGATTCTACTTTTCACTGTGTCTCAGAACTATAAAACTGGCTCTGAAAAGTAGCCTTTGGGCGTTCTCCAGAGGGCGGACCTAAACCCTTTCAAAGAACAGAAGTCAATGAGCCACAGACCCTGCCCCACCCTCCCCCAACCTCAAAGGGACTGAGTATGTAGATTACAAATCAAACCACCCCACTGTAACATTCCAAAGGAATTCCGAACCTAGATTAGTTATCTCCAGGCGTAAACCAGAACTCCAAACTTTAGATGGGTGTGTGTCTGGGGGGAAAGGGCGGGAAGCAATTTCAACCCCAGCCACTTAAATTCAAAAGTCAAGCAGCCAGTATCATAGTTGTTGTTAGAAAAGGGAAAAGGGGCAAGCCGTTTCCTGGGGTCCCTGTCAACGAGTGTGCAGAGCGGGCGAAGAGGGTGTGGCACCCCAAGGGGCCCAGCCGCAGGTGGGAAAAGTGCTTTGTCCAGAAACACAGCTAGTTATCCGGGAAACGAAGCCTTAACCCCCAGCCTACCAGTCTCCAAATCCTTGACACTTAAAAACACTGTCAAACTGTAAAGTAGCTCCAACATACAGAAAGAAGCCTATTATATATGTACACGTATATACTCGTATCTCTCTGTTTTAACACATCTAAACATTTTGACATATTTGCTACATAATGGTTTTTAAGAAATAAAGTCTCACAGAGACAGCGGAGGCTCCTACGCAAGGCTTTTCGCTCCATTCTCCTCCTTCATGCCACCCCCCTCAAAGGGAGTCTCTCCTGGGGCCTGTGCTCATCCATCCTACCAAGTTCTGACGCTTGCACGGCTCACAAATCGACCAACAATAGAAACCGATGACTTTTAAAAATAATTCAATGACTTTCATGTGTTTCCGTTTTAAATAACTGGTATTGCCTGTTAAATTAACTAGGGACTGAGCGGGCTGTTTGCCCCTACCCAGCAAACCAAAGTCCCAGCTCGTGGGTACCTCAAGCTGCAGCAGTGAAACGGAAGGACAGTCCATCACAATCAGCCAGCGAGGGTGTCAGCTATGCCCAACCAATCCTTTTCTTTTTTCTTTTT